ATGCAAGATGACCATCAATCACTCCAACACACAAGATGACTGCCCCTGTGGTCAAAGATAGCTGCCCCCATGCAGACACAAAATGGCCACCACAAGACAGCCTGCAAGGGAGGGCAGTTGGAGGTGAACAAGCCTGGAGGGAAGGGTAGTTGGGGGGAACCCAAGCCTGCAGGGAAGAGCAGTTGGTGGAGACCAGGCCTGCAGGAGAAGGCAGTTACAGTTGACCAGGCCTGCAGAGGAGGGCAGTTAGGGGCAATCAGGCTGACAGGGGAGCAGTTAGGCATCAATCAGGCTAGCAGAGGAGTGGTTAGGGGGTGATCAGGCTGGCAGACGGAAACAATTAGGGGCAGGCAATCAGGCAGGCAGGCGAGCAGTTTGGAGCCAGCAGCCTTGGATTGTGAGAGGGATGTCCGACTGCCCGTTTAGGCTCGATCCTAAACAGGGATCGGCCCTAAACAAATAGACATCCCTCGAGGGGTTCCAGATTGGAGAGGGTGCAGGCTGGGCTGAGTGACACACCCTCATGCACAAATTTTCTGCACCGGGCCTCAAGTATATATATAAAGAGGTAATATGCAAATTAGGCTAGGACGCAGTGATGGGTCATGACCGGACAGGAGATTTGCGCACAGGTGAGTTCCAGAGCAGAAACAGAGACAGAGACTACAGGGCCTGCCCAAGCCGGCATGGGGGCTTGGGTGGCCCCGGAGCAGACACAGGCAGGGGAGCCAGGGGACACTGAGAGTCAGGCATGGGTCCTGGTCGCCCTCTGGGTGTTTCCTCACGCTCTGGGCTTCTAGTCCTATATAATAAAAGAGTAATATGCAAATAGCTGAACGGTAGAACCACCAAACAACCAATCAAAGTGCAATATGCTAATGGTATGCTATGGCTGCTCAATTGCTCACTTTGACATGCATTGACCACCAGGGAGCACAAAGTCAACTGGTGGACCAGTCGCTATGATGTGGACCAACCACTAGGGGGCAGATGCTCCAACCAGTAGGTTAGCTTACTACTGGGGTGTAGCCCATTGGGACTGAAGGAGATGGGCCAGATATGCCCTGGAGTCCTCCCGTAGTTCCTCCCCAGCCTGATCATGCACTGGTGGGGTCCCTCAGCCTAACCTGTACCCTCTCACAATCGGGGACCCCTCAGGGGATGTTGGAGAGCCAGTTTCAGCCTGATCCCAGAGGCCACTCCCCTTGGGCTCAAGGCTGGCGAGCACTGCTGTGGCAGCATGAGTCTCTCCCAATTGGGGACTGACTGGGCACGAGCCTGCAGCGGGCACAGTGGGGATAAACGGGAGTGGCAGGTGGGAGCTACAGGCAGCATTGGACCGCGGGATTCTGGCTGATCCCTGCAGGCCACACAGAGGGAACCCGCCTGTGCACAAATTCGTGTACCGGCCTCCAGTAAATTAGTAAAAGTTTAGCAATGCATAACTTACAGAAATTCTCATACAGAATTAGAATTATTATATATACTTCAGATGTCTTCTAAAAGCTGTTAATCTAGGATAGAAAAAAGAACTCTGAGAATCTGCTACATAAACTGTTGGTTATCTAGGCTGAGATTAAGTCTTCGCTAACCACCTACTCACATAGTATTTTCATTCATTTTGTTGATACCAAAATACTGTAAGTAATATTCTAATTAGTTTATTCAACTAACTTTCCTGGTTTTTACAATATTTTCTCTCTGTTTTCTCAAACAGACACTTCTATATAAAAATAACAATTTCACCAAAACCGGTTTGGCTCAGTGGATAGAGCGTCGGCCTGCAGACTGGAAGGTCCCAGGTTCGATTCCGATCAAGGGCATGTGCCTTGGTTGCGGGCATGTCCCAAGTGGGGGGTGTGCAGGAGGCAGCTGATTGATTATTCTAACTCTCTATCCTTCTCTCTTCCTCTCTGTAAAAAATTAATAAAATGTATTAAAAAATAAAATAAAAATAACAATTTCTTAGATTTAAGACATGATCAGAGAAAAATCTAATCTGGCAATTCAGTGGAAGGAATTTTAGATATTACTGTATGTGTACACTCATGTTTAAAAGGCTAATAGTATTACACACAATGTTTATCAACAGTGAATAGTATGATAAAATTTCCATCCATTATGGAATTACCAACACTGGTTTAGCTAGCAGACAGAGCTACATAATATTGAAAAAATGTGAAAATGTATCTATAAACCAGAGCAAAACACACAGGAAACACATAAATCCTGACTTTTAAGAAAGCACAAACTGAGAAGGCAGAGGAATCAGTATATAGAAAGAAGAGAAGCTCTTTTAACAGCTCTTTGAAGGCAATACTACACAGAAGTATAATTTTAGAAACAGCCACTGCTGCTATTATCAAATTACATATTGTTTAGAACATCATAGCTCAGGAAACATAAAAAAATCAAGCCACTTGTTTGAGAAACAATGATATATTAAAAAAATGCATGGTTTCAAACCATATGTTTAATGTCATTTCTACAGTTAGTAATTTATGACAGAAAAGATTATTTTACCTACTTTGATAAGTAATAATTTATGACAGAAAAAAGTTATTTTACTTTCTGTCATAAAGATAACAGCTTGATAAAGAAATTTCATGAAATAATTTAATTGCAAAGTTCCCCTAGTATCGGCTATTTAAAATCATCTGATGTCAAAGAAATCATTTAACATTAAAAAAGCATTATTCAGAATCACAGGTTCTCAAAAAAAAAAAGTTCCCTATAAATTTCAAAATATGTCCCAAACATTTTCCTACAGTATCAACAATTCAACTAAACTTTTTCAAAGTATATAAAAAAATTAATTAAACCTAATCATTAAAACCAACCCTACTCTGAAAAGTAATTTATTTTTAGATGACTGAGTTATATAATTCAGTTCATTAAATAAGCATTTGCATATCTCCTTGTTTTATCATTTCCATTAATTTAAAAAATATTACTGATTTTTCCTTCTATTTCTAAATCTTTAAAATGAGAAATTAAATTTACCAAATCACTAGATAATAAAAATAAAACTATTTAACTAAAAAATGTTGAAATCATGACTGTTTCTTTGTTAGAAATAAGAAAACTCAAAATTTAATAATTATAATAACTTTGTAAAATATTAAAAAAAAAAAAAAAAACTAAACATAATAACAGAACTTAAAAAGGAAATTTTGGAGATTTTGTATCACAACTTTATATCTAATAAAACTGTCTATTATTCTCATTTAATCACTTCAATCATTTACCAAAGACCTACTTTATTGATCATTCTCAGTTTCAAGAATAACAATATGAGTATATTATTTCACTGCCCTCAAAGAGTTCAAATTGTAGTGGAAGAGATAGACATAAACAAATAATAATATAATATGATATGGTAAAAGAAAAATAATGATACATTCACAAAAACTTCAGGTCCAAGAAGAAGTATTTTGAGACAGAACAAACAGATGTTAGAAAATGCACTGCAAAAGAGTGACATTTAGTTGGACCTGAAAAAATAAAGAATTCATTGAAAAAGAAAGAAGACATTCCAGAAAAAAAGAATACAAACATGAAAATAGTAAGGTCTATTCAAGGAATAGTAAATATAAAGTGAGTCAGTAGAAAGAGAAATTTGGGCTTCATGCTAAATAATAACCCTCTAGTAAGAAGGTAAGAAAATTTGGCTCTCAAAAGAAATTTCAATCGTACTGTTGATATTTTGCTCTGTTGATTAATGAGTTTGCTGACCACTATATTAAGATATGAATAGCTCTACCAACTAGAATATAAACATGCACTTACAAAGACATGAAAAAAATTCCATTTTATCAAATCTCAGGAAACAAAATATCCCTACCTAATAAGAACTTGTATATATAAAGTCATTATAGTTAGTGAAGAGAAAATGTAGTGCTGTGAGTTTAACATAAAAGAAATGCAACATACAATAGGAAATTTTCTCATTAGTTTTTTCCAACAGCACATTCATTATCACTTAGATTTAGAGTTTATATAAAATATACTTTTATTAATTTCCTACAGCACTGTAATTACCACACACTTGTAGCTCAAAAAAATAATAAAACCAGCAAAAAATTATTTTCTACAATTCTGGAGGTCATAAATCTGAAATCAGTTTCACTAGGTTGAATCAAGCTGTGGGCAGTCACACTTCCTCTGGAGGTTGTAATAGATTATCTAGATGAAGCTACTTGGTTGCCAGCATTCCTTGGCTTAGAGCTATATCACTCCTATGTCTGCCTCTGTACCACTTTGCCTTCTCCTCTTCTGTAAATGTAAAATGTCTCTTTTACAAGGACATCTGTGATTACATTTAGGGGCTACCCAATAATCCAGAATAATCTCCTTATCTCAAAATCATTAACTTAATAATATCTGCAGAGTCTTGGCTGTAGGTATCATTTATAAATTCTATGGCTTATGATATAAATATCTTTTATGGGCCACTTTTCAGCATACTAACAATGTCATAAGTCATTTCAATAGCTACATATTACTAAAATATAATAATAAAGAGGCTATATTCATCTTATATTCTCAAATTAAATTTTTTCACAATGATCTCTACTCATATTAATACCAAGATAAAAAGCTCCAAAAATATCCTATCCTATATAATAAAAGCCCAATATGCAAATCAACTAAATGGCGGGATGATCAGTGGAACAACCTGTTGCTATGACGAATACTGACCACCAGGGAGCAGACACTCAACACAGGTGCCAGCAGGCCTCCCACCCCCAGGTCACCCCACGGGTCCCCCCACAGATTGGCCCTGATCACCGGCCAGGCCTAAGGACCCTACTGGTGCATGAATTTCATGCAATGGGCCTCTAGTTTAAAATAAGGAGTGAACATTAAGACTATAGCAAGAAAATGTCTGGTAACGCCTTAAGACGTGATTCACTATAACTCAATTTAAATACTATTCTTTGAAACCTAAGAGTTATGACAATCCATTTTATTTCAAATTTTAAAATATAAAATTTTACCTCCAGATCCTAACTGCTTATAGAATCTATATTCCAAATGTAGCTGTGGTGCTCTGGATTTCATAGGTTCCTAATTTAAAAAAAACAAAAACAAAAACAAGTTATTAAAAGGTCATTAGGCCCCAATTCCAAATGTTATAAATCTTGGTGTCAACTCTTAAGATAATTAATATTTTATTAGGCACCTTTGTCTATTTAAGGTTAGATCAACTGTTCATGTATTTCAATGTAAAATAAATTGATGTCAAAAACGTACAAAAGATTACATGGCTATTAGATCAATCATTAGGGAAATTTATGTTGACTCTTTGACCCTGAAGAAAAGTATACACCAAACATTCATAACTGGGGGAATGGTGACCCTTACTCTATTTCTTTTGTTTCTAGGAATTCATCTTGAACTGTGTATTTCTTATGTAATAGTTTTAGGTTAAAGTAAAATCATATAAAAGTAGGAAAGAACAAATATGAAGATAAATTTTTGACAGTAACAACAACATATTTTTTAAATTTTTTACTTGGGATGAAGCTTAAACAAAACACACAGTTCATAAGCATTAGGTCCATGAGCTTTGTTAACTGCATATACTCCACCAACTATCATCTCAAAAAATCTTTAGAACACTTTTTCATCCTTCCCTCAGAGTATTCACTTTTTTACTTCTATCACCTTTAAGTTAGTTTTATGTTATTATATTAATATTAAAGATATTACATGGTATATGTTTTACATATGTTTAGTAAACTAAATACCAAACTATGATGTGGTATTTGCAGATTTTTAATGCTTCCTGTAATACTTCCTACAACTTTTGTGATATTATACTTTGTTAGTACAGTTTTGGTAATATTATATTTAAGATCTTTTTTCTTGAAATATTAATGTTTATTGCACATAACATTAAAATTTTTTCTTAAAATATTTTTTAAAAAGAGATTAAAACAAATTTCTGTCCTGTCAATATATTTTTTAATTTAAGGCGAACATGTCTCCATACTATACTTCAACCTCAGAATACCAGACACAGCTACAAAAACATTCCCAGTTTCTCAAAAGAACACTGCATAACCAAAATTATTATATGTCGCACTCTGATCACTATGCTTAAAAGGTAAACAGGGGAAGAATGTAAAAGAAAAAAACAAGAAAAATAATAAAGGGGATAGTAACATAGCATGAATATGAACTAAAAAGATGACATATGTGAATATATGTAAGAAGGACAAAAGATAACATAATAAATGTTTACTAATGCATCAATGGTGTCAAGAGGGGAAAAAGGTTCCAAATCTGAAATAACATGACCTAACAGATACCACTTATGACAAGGAAACGTCAGCCTAGTGGAGTGGCTCCTGTTTTGACACAGTGGTTTATTTCCCGTAACATATTAGTTAAATATCATTCACTACCTCACTTGAGTGGACCTGCTCACCACAGGCTGCTGCATCAATAACACAGCATATGGGTGTTACTTACTACACTTCTATTCTTGTGCACCACCCCCACTCCCAACACCATCCAATGTCTACACCCTAGACCACTGAAATAGAACATGGAAAAAAATAATTCCAAAGAAACAAAAGTTGGCAATGCCCATTCAAACACTGTTCAGTCCCTGCATCCTGAATCTCCCCATTGTGATTCATACACACTAACTCCTCCTGTAGACATTTCATAATCAGGAGGGAAGCTTGTCATTCTAAGTTGGCTTTCTATGCAGATCAGCCTATAGAAAGAAAACATTACTTAAACTGATTTGGGTATTCTGAACCTGTAACAGTAAAATACTTCATTATAAAATTAGAAATTAACTCTTCTTAAATATTTCTGAGCTTGACTGATTGCATTAATTTATTAAATCTACCTCTGATTAACAGTGACGATGTCTGTGAAGAGATGACTTAACCAGATTTTCCGACATAAAGCCAAGAACCAGACCTTAAAACCAAGGTGAACCCCTCCAGGTAAATGCCAGACCAAACCCACAAGCCACTCAGCCAGTCTTAGAGACACCACAACCCTACTGTACATCTTACTTCCAGTGAAAATAAACATTTGTTGCAGTGAAATGTGGCCTATACTCACAAACATACTTTAAGTACAATTTTCTAGCTCATCCTAAAAGATTTTCTATTTTCCCCCACTTATCTTTTCTCTAATCATCATCTTTCATTACCTTAATACAGTGGTTATATTGGCAAGCACAAGATTGAGAATGGCAGGCAGACTGGAAAAACCCAGACATGGAAACCTGGCTGGCAAACCAGATAGAAAAGCTGTGCCAAAGAAAGTTATGTCTTATAAAAACTCCCAGATCCCAACTCTTTCAAAAACAGAGATGCCTTACAGCTGTCATTCCGGGCACATTTAGGAATTCAGAATAGTTCCATGGGAGTTTGCTTTCCTGCTGTTCTCCACCCACATCAAGAATTTCTGAATCCCCGAAAGCCAAGCAATAGCCAGCTTTACCATATATAAAATATCAGTTAAAAAAGAGATTTTGAAAGCTACCTGGAAATACTTTCAAAGATTATAATCCTAAATATTAAGGAAACTTTTGTTTAAATACTTGAATCAGAAAGAGAAATCTTGCTTCTAATTTTGATCTAATTAAAATGTCAATATACTAGCTTCCTTAAGTGAAAAATAGTGCCGAAATTCAAAAACTCAGTTCTATGGAGCTACCTAAGTAGAGGGATTGAGTTTCCATGGCACAGAAACAGAGAGACATCCTATACATTGCCATATACTTAAACACTCAGGTTATAAATATGAAAATAAAAAAGTAACTATCGAATAAAATATAAGTTAATCATTAAAGAAATAGGAATTAAGGAAAAATAAGACACACGAACTTACCAGTTTAATTGCCACATATTCGTTTGTATATAAATTTTTCCCTTAAAAAAGAAGGAAAAAAATGTCAAATTCTACCAGTAATTAATTCTTAAAGATATATTATGTAAAACTGTACTCTTGGTGGGGGGGAAGAGGGGGAAAACACAAATATATTTAGAGGAAACACAGGAGGTTTCTTCCAACTACTTAAGAAAAACCTCAATGATGAGGAAATACTACAACTCAATGACATATTTACTATTTCACCTGAATTCAGAGTAGAAAGTGATATTAATAAATACTTCAGCCCACTTACATAGATGAATAGAATCTTATTTTTTTGTAATATTGTACACAACTCATAATGTAATCAATAGTTAAACATATGCTAAACTATATTGTAAAACCAGAACTCATATAAAAACAGGAATATAAAATTCCTCTCCCAATCACCATCTCATATCATTATTTAATGTAATCTTATTGGGGTTCATATATAATCCAAGTAAATACAATGAATACCTGGAAAAAAATCTGTAATATATTAAAAACAGAAAAAGGTATTATCCAATAATTAGCTCTAATAAATTAGCTAACTACTTTGAGTGAAAAAAGTTATTAGCACCTTAATGTATAACCAAATTAAATTCCAATATTTTAAGAGTTAGATATAAGGCACAAAACAAGAAAAAATATTTTTTATTTTTTAATTATTTTTCAATTACAATTGACATACATTATATTTGTTTCAGTTGTACAACATAGTGATTAAACACTTATATGCCTTAGAAAGTGATCCCTCTCTAAGTGTAGTACCCATCTGAGACCATACATAGGTATTATATTATTAACTATATTCCCTATGCTGTACATTTATCCCCTTACTATTTTTACAACTGCCAATTTGTACTTCCTAATCCTTTCAATTTTTTCACCCATTACCCAGCTCCCTAATCTGGCAAACATTAATTTGTTCTCTGTATCTATGAGTTTGTTCCTGTTTTATTTTGTTTTTCAGTTCCCACATGTAACTGAAATCATATGGTATTTGTCTTAATTTGACTTCTTTTCACTTAGCATAATGTCATTGCAAATGGCAAAATTGCATTCTTTTTTATGGCTGAGTAATAATCCATAGTATATATGTTCCATAACTTCTTTATCCATTCTTCTATCATTGGACACTGAGGTTGTTTACATATCTTGACTATTGTAAATTATGCTGCAATGAACACAGGGGTGCACATATCTAAAATAATGTTTATTAGCCCAATATATAGAAGTTTTCAAAATACTAAAAAGTGGAAAAAAGTAAAAGGTCAGAAGATTTTTATACATATTTGATTACATAAAATATTTTACATTTCTGAATGTTGAAAAAAAATCTATCATATACAAAGAACAAATAAGTAACAAGCCAGAATAAAGATTTAACATTATTAAATAAATTATAATAATCTTTGCAATGGTGGATTGCAAATAATCTAAAAAAAAAAAAAAAAAAAAAAAAAGGCACAATGGGTAAGCATCCATAGCCCAAGTAAAATACTATGGAGAATTTTAAAAGCAGTAAATACATGAAGACAATTTGATATATAAATTAATGTTCCTTTGCAAGTATAGTAAAAAAGAATAAAAAATAGAATATGTGATTTCTGAATTTCTAGTACTTTTTTTCAATAAGCATGTATTAAATTTAGGGCAAGAAAACTTATTTTTCTTATTATTTTAAAGGACAGTATTTTGTTTTCACAACTGTTACAGTAAATAGCCCTGGTCGTATTGGCTACAGAACACAGAACAAGCAAGCATCAACTTTCACACGTGATTTTCCAGCATTAAGACACCTAACTTCTTTTTATAAAGCAGCTGACAAATAGCAGTAAAACTTCTAAGCAAAATTTCAGTCTCAGATATACTGCTGCTATTTTACAGTGGTGTTTGTTCATACAAATAGTATAATACTTTTCTGAGTTTTTATACCTATTTTATAAAAAGAAATCATAAAAAGCATTCATACTAATAAGTCTCATAAACCCATTACAGTTTGCAGAAAGATGGAACTTAATAGAAATACCAAAAGTGTCGCCTGTATTTACATACTTATTGATCCCATAAGTATTTGAAACATATACTAGAAAACATGTTTTTAATCCATTTGTTTAGCATTTATAATCTGTGACTTCTTATACATTTTCAAGAATATATTATGTATAAACTTGTAAGCTTCGTCTACAGTAAGTATCCAGTGAATAATTTAATGGTACACTAACTTAATCTTGAGGAACTTATGTCTATCAAAGAAACAATTCTATTTTAAGTTCAAAGATGAAATTTGTATTTTCTCAGAACATTATAATCTTTTCAAAGACAATTTTGTATTTGTTTATTCACATGTACATGAAAAGTAAATATTCATAGGGTAGTCAGATTAAATACAGATTCCATGGAACTTAACTTTACCAAATACTTCTAGAAGTAGTTTTTGTTGCATTTACATAGTCAACTATCTTTTATATCAAAGCAAAAAGCACTAAATCCTAAAAAGATCATCTTTTCTAGAACATTAGAAAAAATTTTGAGGGTTATATTTATAAACATCAACAAAAACTAAACAATACTACCAATGCATTTTTGTCACCTAGCATAGTTTGTTTTTAATCAATATTTGTTATGTGCATTAACAAACAAATGATGCACAAACTGTGTGTGTGTGTACAGTATGAATAAGAGAGAAGTGTGTATCTGTAGAGATAATACACTTAAGAGAAGGCTCCAAGTAACAGATTAGTTCCAGCTAAACTGGTTTTAATCCAATTTTAGAAGATATTCACAACAGAACATTATGCCATATTAAACTTGAAAAGCTGCTGTTATCAATTTTATGGTATATGAATGGTAATCATAAAAAACTATGTTCTACAGAAACAATGTATATGTTTATAACAGAAACTACTAGTTACCCACCAATATCCATGTGCCCTCTTCTATAATAGCATGCCTTCATTTTAAAATGGTCATCCAGCTAGAGACTACATTTCCAGCCTTTCACCTTGAGGGGCCAAGTGATAAAGTTCTGAATATGAGGTTTATCACTCCCCACTCCCAAGAATAAATGTGTGCTCTCCTGGCTCTTTTTTCTCCTTCGTGCTGGTTGGGAGGTGGCAACAACTGGAGCAATCCCAATTCCACAGATACTGAAGCCATATATTGAGGCAGAGGTACCCAGACAGCCCTGGGTGCTCTCCCTATGGTTTATATTATGTAAAAGGAAAATAAACTATTTTGCTTAACACCATTTTGCTATAGCATCATAGTCTATTCCTTACTATTACACTAGAGGCCCAGTGCACAAAATTCGTACACGAAGGGGGGTTCCCTCAGCCCAGCCTGAACCCTCTCCAATCAGGGACTCCTTAGGGGATGTCCGACCACCAGTTTATGGATCAGGCCTAAACCAGTCCATAAACCAGTGGTGGATCATCCCTCTTGCAATCTGGGACTGCTGTCTTCTAACCACTCACCTGCCTGCCTGCCTGATTGCCATTAACTCACCTCCCCTGCCAGCCTGATCTTACCTCCCAACTGCGTCTGCCTGTCTGATCACCCTTATCTGCTGGCCTGATTTTGTTCCTAAGTGCCCTCCCCTACCAGCCAGATCTCACCACCAACTACCATCCCAGGATGGCCTGATCTCACACCCAACTGCCCTCTCCTGCCGACCTGATTGCCCCTAACTGCCTCTGCCTTGGCCCCCACCACCATGACTTTGTCTGGAAGGAAGTCAGACGTCCAAAAGATGGCTGGTCAACCAGGTTAATTAGCATATTACCCTTTTAGTAGTATAGATTATATAGGATAGGATTGCTTAATGAGGGGGAGAGGGGGAGGTATGTGGGGGGAGAAGGAGGGGAGTCTTTTTCAGCAGGAGATGCTCTCAGCAAAAAACAAAACAAAACATAATCCCTATATCTGGACTGATAGCCAGCCATATGCAATATACTATCAAACTGGTCATGAAAAATTGAACCGCTTTCTTACACATTACACCAAAGAGTTGTTGTCCTTAAAACCCCTTCTCAGCCCCCACCTTAGGTTCTGGCTTCAGAGTTCACCCAGATTAGGTTCTGACTGGTCGGTTTCTATGCCAGCCAGCATCAAAAGCCCCGCCTCATAGGCAGTCATTGGCTCCTGGCACTTCACCCAGATTTGGTTCTGATTAGTCAGTTTCTAGGCTAGTCAGCATCTCTGGGCCTATATCTGTGCCTGATCAAAGAGGCGGGGCTGATCAGCAGCCCCTGAGGAGGCCTGGAGAGAAACAGAGGCATGACTGCTGGTGAAGCGGAGAGAGAAAGAGGGAGGCAATTGCTGATCAACAGCTGCCACCGAGGTTGAGGATCAGACCCTGCTTCTCTTTCTGCAGGCCTCTCTCTGGGCCTGATCCACAGCCCCCTTGGCAGTCAGTGCTGGGTCGCTGCGCCAATACCAGCTGCAGTCAGTGCTGGGTCCCTGCGCCAACACCAGCTGCAGTCTGTGCTAGGTCACCACAGCAATCCAGCAGTGACTTCCATTGTTTGGTCGATCCTTTGTCATTACAGACCGTGGCTTTTTATATATATAGATTTTTCAGATAAGTTTTATAATACACTTCAGTTAGGAGCAGTATAAAAATCAATAAACATAAAAATGATGAATATGCATGTTTATTTGATACTAGAGACCCAGTGCATGAAATTTGTGCATGGGAGAGAGAGGGAAGGGTGTTCTTCAGCCCAGCCTGCACCCTCTCCACTCTGGGATCCCTCAAGGGATATCGACTGCCTCTCACAATCCAGGACTGTTGGCACCCAATTGCTCGCATGCCTGCATTCCTGATTGCCCCTAACCACTTCTGCCTGCCAGCCTGATCACCCCCTAACCACTCCCCTGCCAGCCTGATTGATACCTAACTGCTCCTCTGCCAGCCTATTTGCCCCTAACTAAACCTCCCCTGCAGGCCTGGTCACCCCTAACTGCCCTCCCCTGCAGACCTGATCCCTCCCAACTGCCCTCCCCTGCAGGG